ACGGACTGCAGTGATGCTTTGTGTCTGGATTGATGCAGGAAATCCACATGTCAGTTGCAGCTATTAGGAAATTCAAGCGCATGACAGCTCAAGGGGAGTCACAAGGTCCTAACATTCAGACATCCTTCTGCTGGCACTGCATCTGCTCCCAGTCAGTCATCAGCAGGCTAAATATCACAAGTTCCTTGGGAACCCTCACATAATGACAGAGGGAATAAACCGAGAACTGCATCAAGAAGGAAACTTGCCCGTGTGTGTGAGCACACGTGCGCCCACTCATGCAACTGGAAAGAGAACCATATCCTTCAAAAGGCAACCCTTACTTCTGCTTACATGTCAATACTCCACCTTTTAACAGTACTTCTAATTACCATACAAAGTAAGTCCTAGCAATATAGACCAAGCTATATTCTCTGCAGCCTTTCCAATGTTTCTGTGTTCCAAAGGTTTTAAATGCACTAAATATTTTCATGTACCAAATATTAATAACACCAGGGAATATAGCCAATCACCCAAAATGCAATTTCAAAACAACCATCACAACTATTTTGATCATAGTGGAGAATTTAGCTAGTTACTGGCATCTGAAACATATCTCAAGGCACTGCAACTCAAGTGGAAAGTGTAACAAAAACATGTGCTAGCCAGTTAAGCTGGTATTTAAATGCAGCACTAAAAATGCATTTCACACCCAGCTTCATCAATCACCAACCAATCTTACTTTGCATCTTGGCCACCAAAGGAAAATGGGATTTGTTTCCCTGAAGAAATATGTCACTGCTCTGCTTGCATTATTAAGCTTTACTATTACAGAGAGAAACAGAGTCAAAAAAAAAAAAGAAAGAAAGAAAGAAAGAAAAAAGGGAAAGAGAACTAAAATTAGACCCAGGTTGCCATCTACAGACTAATATTAGCATTGCTCATTCATACAGCAGGTGATATCTGAACATGTGTAAATATCAGCAATTAAAAAAAGGACAAATGTAACTAATATCTGAATTATAAGACAGTTAAGATAGTCATGAAATCTCTCTTTTCTAATTAAGATGAAAACAGTATACAGATAAAGAACACTAGATCAAATATTTGCACAATTTAACATATGCTGGAAAATAATTATAGATATTCACCCTAACCCTAAAATGTAACACTTTAACATAAAACCGGACAGCTTAAATAATATAAAATTTTAAATATATTGTAAGTATAAAAATCTATGTAGATTTCATCTCTAAAACCACATTCTCCCATTTTTTTAACTCATGATCTTCAGTCAACACACTCTTCCCTTAGATTTTCCACACTCTTCACTTATCATTTTCACCTTTCTAAAGAGTAAGAGCACCCTTGAGACATTGAGTATCCAAAAACACACACTTGCTCTTAATAGAAGACATTAAAGTAAAAAAGCAACTTCAGTAATAAATGCCTTAAGGAGTAAGATAGAAAGATATTATAATCTGGAAATATTCTGTAGCCAAAGCCACCTGCAGGGAGAGCCATTCAGAAAAAAAAAAAGCTCAAGTTTTAGTAGTATGGATTTAAGCTTAAGCTTATCAAGTGACAATTTAAAGAACTGCACAAAATCTTTTTGCATTTTTCCTAGAAGAAATTGTTTTTGGAACCACGATTCATATTCCAGATTATATGTTCTTTCTATCAAGATAAAATGATAAAAATGCTTCATTTAAATTCTTAACTATGCTTCTGGATCAGTGGCACAAGCCTCTTACAGAAAAAAAAATTTTTTTTAGTCTCTAAAACTTTCATTTAAAAGGCAACCAGAAGTTGTTTCACATACGATGAGATCCAGCAGTTTAAAACCCTATAATCTGCACACTATAAAACCACATTAAAAAATATACACATAAAATGGGCGGTTATCTGGGACAAACGCAGTATTCTCTAAAGACAAGGAAAGAATAGCTGAGGGCTTTTTACCTTCTCCTAGCATTTAAAAATATCAACTGCCTGAATGTGAAATATGTTTTGGTTATTTTCATGCCCATAAATACAAATGGTTGTTGAAAACTATTTGTGAATTTCTGCAAAAGCAAAAATACTGACAATCAACTTTTTTTTTTTTTTTAAAGACAGAGTCTCTCTTTGTCACCTTTGGTAGAGTGACGTGGCATCACAACTCACAGCAACCTCCAGCTCATGGGCTTAAGTGATTCTCTTGCCTTAGCCTCCTGAGTAGCTGGGACTATAGGTGCCCACCACAATGCCTGGCTATTTTTTGTTGCAGTTTGGCCAGGGCCGGGTTTTTGTGAACCCACCACCCTTGGTATATGGGGCCGGTGCCCTACTCACTGAGCCACAGGCGCTGCCCCAACAATCAACTTTTTAATAAAGGTTACTTTCCTTTGAACAAGGGATATGTCAAAACGCCCCTTATATTCCCAAGATTCTACCAACAGAGATAACCTGAAAAGATGATCATTCTCTTTCTTCCAAGGTATGTCTATTAAATCCAAAGGCTTTAAAAAAAAAAATACACTGGAAGTAGGAATAGGAATTTCAACAAACTGATAAGCGCTGCAGAGAAATGATGTAAATAATACCGTATAAAGTCTTTTAATCAAAAATAGGTCATGAAACGCTTAAAATGAGGTCTTTTGTTTAGTGAGTTTTAAGGTATTACCTTACCTTCCACAATTCATTCATCCAACGTTTATTAAATGCCTCAATCTATCAGACCTAGGCCAGTTACTTGAGATAAAAAAAAAAAATTGTAAGACACAGTCCCAGGCTTTGGGGGCTTCACAACCAGTAAGTATTAATTAAAATAAAATTTCCTTCTTTTTAATGTTGGCGGAATGACAGGTTCTTCTAGGTCTTCTTCTGTTTGGTTCCTACTACGTAATGGGAATTCGGTGAATAGCTGCTGACTATGTCACCCTGGTCCCCTTGTTTTCTTGTCACTGAAAAGGATTGTGCAAATTTGAAGTTAAGCAGGTCATTAAAAATAAATCTTCATATGAACTCACATTCTGCAGATACATAATGGGGCCAAAAATAGTTAAGTAAGTTGCCCAAGATCAACAGCAGATCTGGGACAAGAGTCTAGGACCCTTCACTTCCAGCTAATTTCCATCATTGAAATCTTTGACCATTTAGACCCCTTCCATTCCTTCTCTGTGGAATTGATTCATCCACTGTGCTTGTTCTTTTAACCTAGTCTCACACACCTTTCTTCTGACTCTTTAATCACTCATGCAGCTTCCTCTAAACCAGGGGTCCTCAAACTTTTTAAACAGGGGGCCAGTTCACTGTCCCTCAGACCGTTGGAGGGCCGGACTGCGGGCCCTGGGATGAGTCGGCTGCTAAGCGGGACAGGTAGAGGCAGCAAAAACACCTGGCGGGCCTGATAAATGTCCTCAGCGGGCTGCATGTGGCCCACTGGCCGTAATTTGAGGACGCCTGCTCTAAACCCTCTCAGCGTTCAGGCTGTCTCCTGAGCTCTGAAGCCCACATTAGCTGTCATGCTAAGGACTCTTCGTATCCACTCTGAAAGAAGTGGTGCTCCCAGGTGGAAGGAGCACCACCCATGAATCTGAAACCTGATCCCATCCATCCTCTTCCTGGGCACCTCCCATGCCACTGGTGGTGTGTGGGTGAACCCCACGGTGGAAGGGAGAAGAGTCACGCCACTGGGAGGCTTCCCACCAAACTTCCTTGCCCTCAGCATCACTTCACTCTGAGACTATGCTTGGAATGAAACCAAAACTCAACCCTCTCCGTAAAAAGCTCATATGGAAGTTCACAATTTTCATTCTAGACTTCTTTAGTTCACGACACTTTTACCTCATATGAATGAAATCTCACACCAGACACAGTGCCTCATGCCTATGATCCCAGCCCTGTGGGAGGCCAAGGCAGGTGGATCACTTGAGTTCAGGAGTTCCCGACCAGCCTGAACAAGAGGGAGATCCTATCTCTAAAATTAGCCAGGTGGAGACTTCGCATTTGGATTCTCCCCCTCCGCTGCTGGGGGTTCCGTTCCCCTTTTCTGTTCTCCCTCTTTTGCTCATCATGCTTATCAATCTTTCTCCCTGTCAACTCTATAGTTGAAGGGAGAAACTCTCTAGTGAAGGGTCTTAGATTCTTCTCCCTGATAACTCTATCCTGTGGCTTAAAAAAAAAAAAAGGCCAGGCTCAGTGGCTCATACATGTAATCCTAGCACTCTGGGAGGCCATGGTGGGTAGATTGCCTGAACTCAGGAGTCTGAGACCAGCCTGAGTAAGAGTGAGACTCCCTTCACCACCAAAAATAGAAAAATTAACCAGGCATTGTGGTGGGCACCTGTAGTCCCAGCTACTCTGGAGGCTGAGGCAAGAGGATCACTGGAGCCCAAGAGTTTGAAGTTGCTGTGAGCTATGATGCCCTGGCACTCTATGGAGGGCAAAAAAATAAGACTCTCTCTAAGAAAAGGAAAAAAAATCTCAAACTAACATAAACTTTTTAAGATTTATTTTACACCATCTCTCACCTGGTAGTGTGAGATAAAACTACATAACTAATTTTGAAGCATATGTCATGGTTCATTGGTAAATTTTTGTGTGTATTTAGTATTTTCATGGATAGCAGTAAAATTATCAATATGTTTTTTCAGCAAAGGTGATCTGTGAATCATAAGAAATGAAGGCAAATGCTATGGACATTCAAAAAAGATGACCAATATAAAGAGTAGTTGGTAAAAGTGTTAATCAAACACTCTCGGCAGAAGATGGCAAATTTTACCATTTTTATAAGCCACCACAAGAAATATTTGATCACCAAACAAGGGTCCTCATAACACATCTAGTTAGAAATAGAAAATGAGTATGAAAAACAGTGACACCTCTCATACATAAAAAGTCCTCGCTAAAAGCTCTCATATATGACAATGAGGAGTACCTTTTGTTTTCAGGGGAAAACAGATCTATTCAAGAATTAAAATTCTATCACAGCCTTTAGATAAAAGTAATTAGTAATAGTAATATCATAACAAACTTACCACTATTTAGAATTATTTCTTGTGAATTCTTTAACTTTACATTTTGTTTCATTTTTGTCTGTTTTTCTGAATTCACTTCTTCTTTTTTCCCTTTCCTCTTGGGGGGCTGAGGAGATGAGTTGTCACTGGATCCAATAGTTGATTTGGACTGGCGATCGTTTCCCTAAATGGAAAAAGACCCTTATTATTGGTGGATGAATTCCCCAGGGATTCCCAATAAACACATGTCAATAATTAGAAGTAAACAGGCAGAGGCAAGGGATGTATCTTATTGATTCTGCAACTGCCCATCTTAATACCTACACTAATTCCAAATTTATCTTCCTAGAAGCAGAAAGGTCTAGCAGGGGAAAGAGAATAAAAACAAAAGCTAACAATTGTTGTCTACTTAGTATGTACCAGGTGTTCTATAAAAGTGTATTTCACTGAACCCTCCTCTAGCCCTGTGCGATGGGTACTGTTACCACTGAGCTGTATAGAGGAGCAGGTGAGGTTTAGACCACTGCACACAGCTAGTCAGGAGCAGAGCAGCTGCCTCCAGAGCCACTATAAATCCCAGCTGCCATCAATATCCTCTTTACCTGCACCTCTCTGAATAATCAGCAGGTGTCTGTTGGATGAGGAATAATGCATGCCCCTAGTTTGATCAAGTAATCTAGAAGTATGTTCTTAACTAGTTGCCACTGTGAATGAATGGATATTATCATACTAGCAGGCATACCCAAGCTTGTAGAAATCCTCCAATATTAATTTAGGTGTTGGTGACCATGATAGTCTCTGAGAATCACACATCCGGAGCCACACACAGACACTGCAGCTCAGGACCACAGGTCCCCTTTATTCCCAAGACAGCGGCACAGCCTGCTTGCTCCCCATACAAGGCAGCCACAAACAACGGTCCCCTCGTGCCTCTCACAATGAATGCCACAAATAAACTCCCAAGTACAAGAGTGAGACTGGGTTTTGGTAGCTCCTGTACTGCCCCAGTACAGCTCCTGGGTAACCGCATAATAGCCACTACAGCAGAGGCTCCTGCAAGGGACAGCCGTGCTGATGCTCAGCCACTGCTACACCAAGAAACTATCTCTCACTAAGGCAGTGTTGTCTCTCAGATGCTCAGGTGCTCAATTTACCTGAGAGTATAAGGTGTGAGGCTGCAAGTTGTGGAAAAAATGCACATTTCAGAGACACAGAGTACCTGGGCCAGCTACTACTCTGCCACTAACCACCCATGGGAACATGGGCTAACTCCTAACTGCTTTAAGCCTTGGTTTCCTCATCATTTGAATGGGGTCAGTGTACCTGTCTTTAGGTCTATGATGAGGATGAAAGGAGAAAGTGCTTAAAATACAGTGCCTACTTTCTCCACAAGCAGGGAGTTAATATCTTTTTCTTAAAAATTACATCAAATTCACACCATATTAGATGTAATCTTTATGCAACATCTGTACTATGCTAGTGTCTGAAAATAACTGTAGTAATATTAAACAAACAAGTCTGCCCAGAAAACTATTATAACTGTTCATTTTAAACATTTACATATTCAGTCATCCAGAAGCATTTAAATGGTTTTAGCCATCACCCAATTAGGAATAGGAAGATTCACAGCCTTACAAATGAAGTTATTTATGCTATTTTGTCGTAGCCTACAAGAAAATGAATTATGCATAGATTTATTAACAGTATGAAAACTTGTCCAAATCTATAATACTTTTGTGTAATTTAATTTCCTATTCCAACTGTAATTTAAACATACAATTTCCATTTAATTATTGCAGTAACTGCACCCAGAGGTTTTTTTTTTTCTCTTTTCTTTTCTCCAGTGATTCTTTCTTAAGAATCTTAAGGTCTGCTACACACTGTCTGGCAGAGGAAATAGATAAACGATTATACTGGAGATTCCAAAAACATAAGCCAAGTCTCAAGTTCCAGTTTATTACAGTGGAGTCTTTTCATTCCAAGATTTCAAAATTATAAGAGCGTTGGATAAAAGGAACAACCTTTCACAAGCAGTTAGCAAGGTCACTAGAATGTTCAGAGATGCCACTCAACTTGCAAGGACTAGAATAAAACCAAATGAATGAGAAACTTTAGATCTCAGCAAGATCATTTTTTACAGTTCTCTGGGAAAAATATCCTTCAAAAAAAGGGGTAAACAAGAGAGAAGCATAAGCCCCACTCTAGAGTGCCTAGGGATTAATACAATTTTAAAAGTCGCCTTTCTTGTTCAATATCCAGGGAAGCTGGATGTAAATGTATCACATTTCTGACAGGGACACTTGAAATTTCAGGGTGATTTTGGAGTGCTAAGGAAGACTAGTTGATTCAAATAACCACACAGCACCTATATCTGGCAATTGACACTCACTCCACTCATGCATTCAACTGCTGAGTAATACCTAACCTCCAGACACTCTGGAGTAAAAAGTAAACTAAACTAAGTGGGGAAAAAAACTGCTTTGAAATCAGAAAATTGAAAATAGGCTGGGTGTGGTGGCTCACACCTGACATCTCAGCACTTTGGGAGGCCAAGGTGGGAGGAGCACTTGAGGCCAAGAATTCAAGAATTCAACAGCCTGAGCAATCCAGTGAGACTTCTATCTCTACAAAAAATAATAATGATAATAATAATGATATTAGAAAAATTAGCAAAGCATGGTGGTGTGCACTTACAGTTCCAGCTACTTAGGAGGTTGAGGCAAAGGATCACTTGAACCCAGGAATTTGAGGTTGCAGTAAGCTATGCACTATAGCCTGGGCAAAAGATAAGACCTATCTCCAAAAAAAAAAAAAACCCTGAAATTAAATTTCATGCTTTTCTTTTTAAAAAGAGAAAAATGTGTGCTTTTCTTTTTAAAAAAGAAAGAAGTTGATTCATCCAAAGTGCTGATAATATAAAAATCCAAGCTTGATGGTATAAACGTGTAATCTTAGCTATTCCAGAAGCTGAGGCAGGAGGATTGCCCAAGAGTTCATGACAGCCTGGGCAACATAACAAGACCCTGTCTCTTAAAGAAAAAAGAAATTACATGATATAAATTTCACCATATATAAAGTATATATTTGTCTTACATACTTATAGATTATATGTGATTTACAAATAAATTATATATGATTAGTGGGACAGAGGGAAAAATCAAGAGGAGGAAGGATCATCTTTTTTTTTTTTTTTTTAAGCAAGAGTCCTTTATTGATCTGCCAGGCCAAGAGCAGGTTCACACCTCAAAGTCTCCTGACCAGGAGGGATCATCTTTTTTTTTTTTTTTTTTTTTTTTGTCAAAGCTTGTACAAATGACTTATAACTTGATTAAATGGATAGTCAGTGGTATTTGCAGGACATAGGAGATTGGGGAGTTCTGTCATCTCATACAGCTATCTCAGTAGACAAAATATCATTGAGTACCTTTTATGCACTATATACATATTAACATAAATATTTACCAATTTTATAAATAAGTCTTATTTTCACCATTTCATATATATAAAGAATTAACTTTTTCAAGGTCTAATTTTTCTACTACACTGTAGCATTCCAATGCCCAAAGCATTGGAAACATCTTTCAATGTTTTATAGCTTGACTCCCTGAAACAGGCATCCCAGAAGGAATAAATTATGGCTGTATGGGAAAGTGGAAGGAATCAAGAAACAGCCTAATTTTATAGGGTGTCCTACGAAGAAACTAGACCCTACACCATGCTTCAAACACTGTCCTTAATACAGGGTTCCCCAATTCAGGGCTAGAAAAGACCCCCAATTTCTAGGCCTGAGTGAACTCAGAAATCAGTCTCATCACAGAACCCCTTCTCTAGGCATGACCAGGCCCTTTCCAGACTGCATTCCTTGAGCTCCAGTAAGGTCACAAAAAAGCAGCCTAATCCATATTTCATCTGGGTGGTTCCTCCTAGAGTAGGAAGCACACGCTCTACTGCCTCCACTGGGGCAAGGACTGCAAGGACCCCATTCCCTTGCTAATTTTAGGATTATTTTCACCTACAGATTCTTGCCCAATGATGACATGTTCCAGATATACATTCCCCAACCCCCCCCCCGCTAAAGGATAGGAAAAGCAGTATATAACGCCTAAACCAATGGTTCTCAACCTGTGGGTCATAATCCCTTTGGGGGTCAAACGACCCTTTCACAGGAATCACCTAAATACATCCTGCATATCAGATATTTACATTATGATTCATAAGAGTAGCAAAATTATCTTATGAAGTAACAACAAAAGGAATTTTATGGTTGGGGGTCACCACAACATGAGGAACCATATTAAAGAATTGCAGCATTAGGAAGGTTGAGAACCACTGCCATAGATGGAAAGCCCACGTGGGCTTCCCACTTGGGATCCCTCTCCTTTGTTGGCAGAGGGTCTGTTCCCTCTCTTTCACTTACCTTTTTTATCAATTTTTCTTTCAACAAACTCTGTCCTTTCACTTACTTGCATAATCTGTGGTTTAATTCTTCAAAACCAGAGATCAAGGACCCAAAATAAATAAATTCCAATTACATCCTACCTTTTGCCTCACAGACATTTCAGCCTCTGGCTCAAACAAACAAACAAAGAAAAAAACAAATACAGCCTTTTAATTGCCCCTCACTCTACTAAGATTAGGAATTTTTTTTTTACCAGTTCCCTAGGTTCTTTCCAACAAGATCTCATCAAGTCAAGTTTCTTTCATTACCACAATAAGCCCATTTCCAGCCTCCCAAACATGCCAAAAACATATAGACCACAAAAATATCAAGTTTTAACAGATTGGCTGATTGGATACAGAAACTCAGACCAGACATCTGCTGTATTCAAGAATCGCACCTTACTTTAAAAGATAAATATAGACTCAGGGTAAAGGGATGGTCATCTATATTCCAGGCTAAT